AAAGTAGTACATTTTAAAGTAGTGTTATAGTGCTCATAATTTTTTGCGATAGAAATAATACGACAATGTTATTATAATATCAATTTATTAAAATAACAAAATGAAATAGTACTCCATCTTGATACAAAAAACAAGGATGTGGGAATCTTCCAAGAAAAGGAAGGAAGTAATTAATTTTAAAATAAGTAACTCATCCTTGTTTTTTGTATCAAGATGGAGTACTAGAAAACCAAAAACTTTCTTTCCCATAAATAGCTATTGTTTCGGTTTCAAAATATTTCCTTCTATTTTAAACGCTCAGTTATTTGCATCGGACTCCAAACGACTGCAAAATTCAGTCATTTCACTTACTGCATTGCTCTTAATGCTCTCAATCATTGCATTGTTATGTGGTGGTTTCACTTTTTCAATTTGTTTCAGGATTGCAAGTACAGGACAACGACAAATGCTCTTTTGATGGACAGTGTAAGATATATTGCATAATGAAACATCCCTCCTATGATAATTACAAATGCGTCAATGGAAGATGCGACTGCTTTTGAGGAATTGTTTTTAATGTCTCTTCTGAAGTGAATTACATATAAGTTCAATTATCATTCATACAATACATATTTATTCATTCACATATCACTGTTTTTATTTCAAAGTTCAAACTTGTTGGCTTTGGTACCACAAAAATTCGATTGGCATTCCTCCACATTAAGATGCTTGTTGGTTTTGGTACCACAGAAAATCCGATTGGTATCCCTCCACATCAAAATGGAAACCCACCAGGGTTTCCATGCAATTTTCTTTCATTTTGTCAAAAATTTTCGACGCAACTGCCAAGATCAACCTAACTTTGTGTTGAAGTGTTCATCTATTTCGAATCTTCGTAAGAGTTTGATGCTTTCGTCAGAGGTTGAGTCACGTCTGAAGATCATCAGTGTTATCATTAGATTGACTGGTGCTTCAGCTATACTTGTTGTCTTAGAATAGTCACTCAGTTTGGCACATATTTGGCAATACAGTTCTATTCTCAGATGGTTTAACAATAATCTTTGGACGAAGTGGTTATCAGTCATATTAGAAAACACTAGTTGAAGTTCCAGAAAGGCACATAAGTTTTGGCTGCCTCGTGAACATGTACTACAAAATAAACTAGTGAGGATTTTTCCAGCAAGAGATCTACAAACACACGACGAGATAGACTGTACGGAATCATTCAATTCAGAGCGGTCAGGAATATCAATTCTGGTTCTTTTCCTGCTCAAGTATTGAACGAGAACCCCAAGAATTCGAAACAATCCTCTTGTTTACCTAACGAGTATCTAGTGGGCTTCAAATACTGTAGGAAATCGGTTGATGGCAAAGATGATGCATACATGTGTAGCAATCGTCGTTGTAACAAAAGGTTAGGTTAGGTTAGGTTAGGTTAGGATAGAACAAATACATTCCCTAATAGTTATTAAAGAATGGATGGAAGTGGTAAAACTGGAAATTGCCCCAAATAAAACAGAGGCGATTATCGTGCGGGGGCCCAGGAAAAAAGAGGGTATAGCCTTTGAGCTGGACGGGTCGAGTATAGTCCCGAAAAAGTCCGTTAAATACCTGGGAGTGTGGCTGGACGACAAGCTAATTTTTAACGAGAACACGAGAGAGGCCTGTGAGAAATCGGACAGGCAAACTACTGCGTTGTCCAAGCTACTGCCGAACGTAAAAGGACCTAGTACTCAAAAGAGACGCCTGTTATACCGGGTGGTACAGTCGGTCCTGCTGTACGCTGCGCCTGTGTGGGGAAACGCGATGAGGATTGACACCTACAGAAGAATGATAACTGCATCGCAAAGGAAAATGATACTCAGAACGATTTCGGCATACAGAACGGTGTCGGCAGAGGCTCTCTGTGCTATCGCCGGGATACCCCCAATTGACCTTTTGGTGCAGGAAAGGGGACGAATTGATGAAGCCAATGTTGAAGTCACAACTGCCCTCAAAAAACGTGAAAGACTCAGAACCATTGAGGAGTGGCAGTTAAGATGCGATAGAAATAACGATAAAGCCCAATGGCCCAAAAGACTGATCCCACATCTGGGGGCGTAGACGGAGTGTAGGCACAGAAGAACAGAATATTTTCTCACCCAGTTTCTCTCAGGACACGGATCTTTTAGGATATATACAAACAGAATTGTTAAGGCTAATGACAATCTCTGTATATACTGCAAAAACGTAGACAGCGCAGAACACACCATATTCGAATGCCATAAGTAGGCAAGCGATAGACACAGGTTTGAAGTGGATGCTGGGAAGTGCCTGACACCAGATAACATCGTACAATATATGTTAGGATCAACGGCGAATTGGGAATTGACCGCAAACTATGTTAGTTCTATTATGAAGAAGAAGGAGACGGAAGAAAGGGAGTCCCAGGCCGAGGAGAGAAGGAGACAGGACCAGCGCTAAGTCAGTTTTAGTTTTCACTATATATGCCGCCCATACCTGAGTATATCCGTGAGGACAGTTCCGGGTATGAGGGAACGCAAGGGGTGGTTTTGGCCGGTACAAGTCCGGCACTACTGGTTTCACGATGGATACCAAGCGATCAGTGCCACCCTACCAAAAAAAAAAATTGAGGTTAGATTAGGTTAGGTATATATGCAAAAAGGTCTGAGATACTCTTGCAGAACGTTATTTGGAGACCTTGGTATACTTACAGCAATATCACTGTACATTCTAGAATCAGTCATTCTGATACATAAAAATGAAATACTTCTGAAATACAGTAGGTACAGCAAAACAGGTGTTGCGGTTTTGTTGACTGTTGGAGGTGGAAAATCTCATAATGAAGTGTATTTCATTTGAGACCATACGTTATGGATTTTCATCAATTATTAGCCAATTGTATCATATTATATTCGACACAGTTTCTTAACACTCTTTTATTAGATTCACCTGTATACATGTATGTTTGTTTGTTTGTAACTCTCTAGCTCGGGATCAGTATTTGACAGAAATATCGATATTATTACCTGATCTATTCGCGGGCAGATGGCGCTGTATGTAACCTATTTTATATATCGACATCATCGCTTGATCTATTCGCAGGCAGATGGCGCTGTACTCAACCTCTTTGATATAATTCGAACTCACTTCGCATGTCATTTGAAAAAAGTATTTTTTTATGAACACGCGCGCCTGCTTCCTTATTTGTAACCCTCCTCTGCGCACCTTGGGCTTGATAGCTGATTTTCAGGCTCCCTCTCTGGAATCGGAAAATATCAATGGTCATTTTTATAAACAATATACGGCTGATTGATCCCAGAGTTTAGATAAAATAAATATATTTCAAAAAGACTGAAAAACACGCTATTTCAACTTTTTAGTTCGATGTTCTTTAAAAGCATGTTTTTCAGTTTTTAAACTATATTTATTTCAATTAAAACTCAATGGCTATGGCGAAATGAATCGATATCAAGGAAGTCATGACAGGCGATTTTGTTTGTTACCAAATCAACGTGCTGTCAGTAGGAGTGGAAAGGAAACGGAAATCATCATCTGAAGGTCGAGATAGAATATGCGTTGGAAATATGATAGTTTGGTAAATAACATCTATTCCAATTATTTTATTAATAGACTTCGGCTACCAAATTATAGCAGAAATGAAGTTTTCTTCACTTTTGTTGTTATTTACCTTCGTGGTGATCTATTGTGTTACAACAAGCGTTTCACTCTTGACAGGTAAGTACCTACAGTTTCAATTTTTCTCGTCAATTGTGTTTTAAAAAACATACAATCATAAAACTTTGTGTTGATGTCAGTCAGTTATTACATACATAGTGGCCCCATTAGTAAAAAAATGTGAGCAGTCATGGCAGATGTGAAACATTGATAATAATGTTTTGTGTCCCTTGTGATGATTGTCGAGCCCTAAAACATTCATATAGAATATGTGATTAAAATATACATGGAAAAATTTTAATGTGGCTTTAATATACTAAACAGTAAACTCAAAAATTTTAGCTAGTTGGAATACATTACTAAAGATCTTTAATTATAAATATCGTTAATGAATGTTTCAATATAAATTCCATCATCATTAGAAAATTGATTAATAAAGAAAAGGGAAATGAAACTTTCTATGTTTTTTACCACTTTTATTGTGGTAAAAACATTATGATTTCATTCATTATGATTTCCTACCACGTAGTAACGGCTACATCCATCAATTTATAGAAATATTTTTGCCTTCTGTCGAACAAAGATACGCAAAAACCCACAGCAAACAAATCAGTTGAAGTTCTTGTATAAATAAAGCATTTATTTGTAACAGTCTCAAATAAAAATAACAAAACGAAGTGTCTATTTGGATAATCATTAAATCTATGAATAAATTAACAGAAAAATTAAGAAGCAGTATCCATTACAGTCCACATCTCATTATCCCTCTTTCCCAGATCCACCTTATCATTTTTCGGCCCAATAATGACTTTTCCACTATTTAGGACGTTCGAGAGTCCCAAATACTTTTCTGCCACCATCTTCAGTCCATCCTTTTCAACGCTCATCAGCTCGGCTCTGTGCCGCTGCTTGATATCCGGTGTCAACCTCTTCAAAAACTCCTCTGAACCTTTAGAGCTGGGGGGCACCGGCGCGTCTACAGCTTGAAAAACACCCAGCTTCGCTTCAAAAATATCTTGCTCCGTAATGTTCTTCATCTCATTTTGAATCCACTTGTAAGAGTTATCAAACACGTCCAATGTTTCCAAGCTACGGGGGTCTCTGTAGCTGAAGAACGAGAACACCCCATCTGGCATAATCCTGGCACCCCCACCGTATGCCCCTTGCCGCTCCCTCAGCTCAGGGTGGAGGTACTTTGAGGATAGTAGCCTAGCGAGTACTCTAAGCTTGGCGTAATCCTTGTGTGTGTAAGGAGCGGTTAGAATAGCCTTGCTGCAGTAGTTGATGGGCACGTTTAGANGTTTGGTGGCCAAATTTGAGACGACCGGTTCAGTAAACAATCAGCCAACACCCGTACGTTCAAGGAACGCAAGATCGGCCGAGAACATCGCCGCGGTCCATGAAAGTGTACAGCAGAGCCCGAGGCAGTCTATTCCTCGCCGTGCACAAGAACTCGGCCTTTCGCAGACTTCAACTTGGCGAATTTTGCGTCGGGACTTGGGCCTACACCCGTACAAGATCCAACTGACCCATGAGCTCAAAGTTCATGACCATGGACAACGCCGTTTGTTCGGTGACTGGGCTTCGAATCGTTTGGAAGAGGACCCCAATTTTGGCCGAAAAATCATCTTCAGTGACGAGGCGCATTTTTGGATGATTGACTGTGTTAACAAGCAAAATTGCCGTATATGGGCCGACACCAACCCACGCGAGGTTCATCAGGTGATAATGCATCCTCAAAAAATTACCGTTTGGTGTGGATTTTGGGCCGGGGGCGTAATTGGTCCGTACTTTTTTGAAAACGACGTTAGTGAGGCGGTCACCGTCAACAGCGAGCGCTACAGAACGATGATAACTAATTTCTTATGGCCCAAATTGAACCATATGGACCTAGACGACATGTGGTTCTAGCAGGACGGCGCTACGTGCCACACAGCAAACGCCACGATTGACATTTTGCATGAACGA